CAACTCACTACAGCAGATCTCAATCTCCTTTGCATATCTGCTGCTCCAGGAAAGAGGAAGGAAATGGCTTTTATGGTCACACTGGGGCTTTCTTCAACTCCCTGCATAGGACAGCACCAGGGTGTTGAAACAGGAGAGTGGGTACCTTGATCCGCACTTGCTCACCGCCAGTCAGGGCAGGGCTGCTGCATCCTCAGCCGGGTGCACTGACAGGGGCACAAGGGCATCCCCAATCCCCAGGGCCAAGGGAGCTTAGAGCTGCCCCCAGGCCCAGGGAAGGCGACCTCCGGTTAATCAGGCCCAACCCAGCAGGCCAGAGCCCAGCTGGTGAAAATTGTCCCTGATATCACTGCGTTTCTTTCCCCGGTCGAGGACCTGTCACAAGGTTCGCTGGCCTCTCTGCAGGCTGCAGCATTCAGCTGCTCCCCCTGGACAAGCTGTTTGAGGAGCCGGCTGTCTCCTCCCACCCACCCCAACCCTCCCTGCTCCCGAGTTGCTCTTCTGTTACCCCTGGGCATCACACTGAGGTACTCCTGATTTACACCAGTGTGAGCAACTGGGAATTGGACTCTGTTCACTCAAAACTGATGAAAAACCTAGCAAGAGGAAGGTAAAAGTGTGGATGGGAAACACACGGGCCCATGACACCGGTCAGTGTTTGTCTTTAATCCCAGTGCCCCCAGCGATGGCTGCACGGATTGGCAGGTCTGTAGCCGTGATTCCCGGCTGGTGTCTCGGGTGCTTCATGCAGGGGCCTGGGCTCAGCACTGACAACGGCTCTGGAGCTACTGGAGTCTGCGCTTATTTGCATGTAATGGAAACTGTGCCCATCGGTGCCCAGCACTGCCGGTGCTGTGGTATTAGCAACCCAAACGGAGTAGCTCCCTGCTCTTGCAAGACTTCTTCTGTAGCCCCGCAGTGTCCACCCAACGTGTCACACGTGTCCGGCCCTGTGAGATCCACACTGGGAGCTGCTGGGGAATCTGAGCTGCTGCCATGCAAACAGTGGGATGCCCTGGGGGGCAGAGAGGAGCTGCAGGTGATCGGGTCCAGGGCTGCTGTACAAGCATCTGCCCGGCTCTGATGGGAACTTGCAGAAAATGAACATGTTCACTTCCACTTCCCTCCCACTAACTGCCAGGGGTGAGGAAGTGCAGGGTTACTGCCTGAGACTGAGAAATGAGCCTGGTGGTATAAGTTAGTCACTCAGACATCCCAGACCTTCCTCCTCCCTTCTTGCTCCCCAGCACAACCCCAGCCACAACGTGATCTTGCCCCAGCAGCAGGAGCATAGGCAGATTAACTCACGGGCCAGCTGGGACTGGGCCCAGGGGCTCCTGCCAGACAGGGACCCCCGGATGCCTGGAGGGCGGGCACAGAGATGGGGGGCAGTTCAGTGTGGATGAAACCAGCGGCCAGGCCAGGCCAGGCATGTGCAACACGGCGGGCTGTGGCTGCCGGGTACTGGGCGGGGTGCGAGGCGCTGGGCATGACCGCGCCGCAGCCCTGGGAGCAGACAGAGCTGCTGGTGGCAGGGAGTGGAGCCAGGCGTGGAGTGTGACTGGGACCTGCTAGAGGCAGGGCAGCCCCGGTGCAGCCAGGTCCCAGCCCAGCCACAATCCTGCTCCTTTGCCAGGTACTGCTGGAGTCGGACTGAGACGCAGCAGGGTGAGGGGCTGCCCTCGGAGCTTGGTCCACGCCACACACACGGGGGTCCTGCACAACAAGCGCTCGGCTCCAGCTCCAGCATGGGCCTGCGAGTGGGAGCAGCCATGGCTCCTGCCCCAGGCCTGCAGGCAGCACAGCCAGGCCAGGGAATGGACCTGCGTCGTCTCCCCTTGTTCCACGGTGGCCACGGAGAGTCTCCTCTCCTTCTGGGCCAGCTCCACAGGTGTCCTGACGCCTCCAGCTCCTGCCCCAAGAGCATGAAATAAATTCTTCCGAACTTCAACCAACAACGCCCCATGCCACGGCCTGATGGTTCCCCCCAGAGTGCATCATGTGCCTCAGTGTCCCCAGGGAGTCTGGGGTTCAGCCTGTGCCCGTGTCATTTCAGGCACCCACATCTCTGCTGGACCAAGCACTGAGTGGAATTGTTTTTAAAGAGGGAAGTTGGTCATAGTGATAAGAAAGAGCTGGCCAAAGGACAATAACAGACCACCAGTTCACTTTGGGCTGTCAAAAACAGGCATTATCTTGGATCTGCGGGGCCAGGCCATGGGGCTGGCAGCACTGCGGCTCGTCCCCAGACCGAGGGTCACGAGAAAGGCTGCTTCTTTGACGTCCTCTGGCTCCTGCCTGCCCTCACACAGCTGTGCCTCCTCCAGCATGGATGGCAACCCTTGTGGGTACGGGGCCCATAAAGAGCTGCACTCTATAAATACTGCCACCACCGAGCGGAGCCCATGGGACTGAAGCTAGGCTGCCCACAGGGAAGATGAAGCCACCCCCAGTCACCATGGGGCAGGCAGGGCCAGGAGGCCGTGGCAGCAGGGAGACGGGGTGGGAGAAAGCTGGGAGGACTCGGGGCCAGGGAGACCAGCCAGGGGTGCAGGAACGGGAGTCTCAGCCGACCTTGTTCTGCCCTTTGGCAGCGGCTGGTGCTGGGCTGGAGATGGGCAGTGGATTTCAGACCCCGAGTCCCCCGTGCAGCCGCCACTGCATGCTCCTGCGCTTTGGCTTCACGCCAGGATTCTGGACAATGCCCCGTGCAGACAAGACCTGAGGCAGGAGACCCTGGGGAAGGGGAGTGTGAAGGAGTTGGGGATACGAGGCAGCGCCAGGAGCAGAGCTGGGAGGAGACCCCTGGGCTCCCCGTGGGCAGCTTGGTGCTCCTTGCCCTGGGCTCCTGGCTGTGCGGGGGCTGTGGGGAGACTCACTCTCACCTCCCGCACCACACACAGGAGGTTTCCCTGCCTCTGCAGGACGCAGGCAGCAGCAACACCTGCCAGGCACAGGGCACCCGGCCGTCGCTGTGGGGGAAGCTGCAGCCTGAGGATGGGGCTGAGGACCATGCACAGCACTGGGAAGGGACGGGCAGTCTGAAGGATGGGCTGCTGCTTGCCTTCTTGCTCCCCCCTTGTGTCCTGGGGCCTGGCGGCAAGTCCCTTTCCTGAGAGCCAGGGCCCTGCCTGTGCCCGTGCGGTGAGGTTATGGCAGCTCTCCCCCAGGATCCAGCTCTGCCCAGCCGCTCTCCCCTCAGCCCCACGGGCTCCTCTTTGCCTGGTCAGCTTGGGAGTTGGTTTCATGGCAGGGATCAGCAGCAAGGAGGAGTCCCAGACCTTGGCTCCTACCTCAGCCACTGGCCCTGTCTCACTCCCCCGGTCCTGCAGCCCCTCCTGGGCTCCGGCTCCCCTACACAGGCCTCAGCCCGCTCAGCTATGGTGTATTGCCTGGCTCCAGCCCTCAGGCCTTTGGGCCCCTGACCCCAGGCTCGGCTCTATCACGGAGCACCCCTCCAGGCATCTCCTCCATCCTCCCCTACAGCCCTCCCCTACGGTCCTCTGGTCCCCAACCTAACCCCAGCATAAATAGCAGCAAACCACTGCCCAACTCAATCCACCCTGCTCTGGGTCACTGTCTTCTCGCCAGCCACAAATCCCCTTTAACTCTCTCCTTCCTGCTCTATGGGCAGCTTTGATCCTGCCTGTCTGATTCCTGCACCCATCTCCCCCAGGAGCTCCTCTGCCTGCAGCTTGCAGTGCCAGACTGACCACCTGGTTTCAGTCACTGGGCATCTGTGCCCCAAAGCACCACCCCTTCCAGCCATGTGGCTTCCCATTCATCCTAATGGCCAGCCTGCCCTCCTCTGTGGCAGCCCAACACCAGTGTCTGCAGCCTTTCCTTCTCTCCTGCCTGAGGTCTGTCCCTTGGCTGCTTACTGCAGTGCAGCCAAGTCCAGGACAGTCACTGCCCAGTGGTAGCTCCTATCCCTGGTGTCTCTGGCCTGCTTGTCTTCCAGCAGCTAGCCTTGGTCCAGCAGCCTGCCCCATGCAGCAAGCTTGGCCTGCCACCCTCTCCTCTTCAAGTAACAGGAGCCATAGGTGCTGAAGCACCCACTGAAAAAAATTAGCGGGTGCTGAGCACCCATGGAGCTGCATGCAAATGTTAAAAAAGAACAAGCAAAAAGCGCACTTTATTGGAAGAAGCAGCACGTGGCATAAACCTGGTTCTGCAGCATCTGTAAAGATACTGTACAACAGCAGGGCCTTTTGGCACTTTTAGCTAAAGCTGACTCAATCACCTATTGGATAAAAGTGCCAAAAAAGCCCCACTAAAGCGCCCAATCTTTACAAAACCATCCTATCAAACAGCACTGTTCATGCATACATATGATAAACTGAACATAGCTTGGCATTAGCTAGAAAGAGAGCCCAAGCAGCACAGCAGTACATCTGATTGGAGACCTATCTATGCATGATGCCCAGAGAGCCCCAAAATCAGCACTGCCTTTGGGCGAGTCCCTGACACATCCCCTCCACCTTCTTCCAGTGGCAGGGCTGGTCTCTTCCTTGGGGCAAGCAGCAGGTCAGTATGGGGCATCTCAGGCTCTGGCATGCTTGGTGGATGCATCTGTGACAGCAACAACCTCTGGGGTGAGGACAGCAGAGTCACAGACCCCACTCCAGGGAATACAGCAGATTAAGGCAGCTGCCCCGGCTCCCTCCATCCTGGCCAAGAAGCCCAAACTCAGCCAGTCGCACAGCTCAGCAGCTCAGCCCTAGCCTTCTGCCTTTAGGGATGGCAACAGCTGCTCAGCACAGAGCTGCAGCCTCAGCCACTGTTTTGCTGTCACTGAAGGCACCGGGCTGAGCATCAGCTCCTGTGGTCACAGCCCTCGTGCCCTGGCTCTGTGCTGCAGGCCAAGTGGGCAGTGAGGTGTTACTGAGCAGCCACGGCTGTCCCAGACATCAAGGAGCTGTGCTGGGGTCAGCGCAGGTCACAGGTCAGGAATAGTCTCATAAATGTCCCTCCAGGATGGGTCTCCCCCTTCTGATGCCCTCGCTCTGCTGGCCGAATCCCAGGAGGGCTTGGGAATGCGGAGCACAGCATAAGTGACAAGGTGTTCCTGCTGGAGAGAGCACAGGGGTAGTGAGCGGGGTGGGCAGGGATGGACAGGCACCCCATGAGAGCAGTAGGCAGGGAGCACCAGGATGGGGGTGGGGGAGAAACACTTACATCATCCATCTGGGGGGTTCCTGTGGGCTTGGCTGTGAGAGAGACACAAAGGGATTAGGCCTGGGCAGTAAGGTGCACACTCTTGCCCCTGCCACCAGCCTTCAGTGCCTTCCTGATCAGCTCCAGCTGCCTAATGTACCTGGGACTGAACGTCAAGGACCTAGGACCCCAGGCCTCTCTCCTACCCCTGCTCCAGCCCTGTCTGAACCCAGGAGTTGCATCCCACCAACCTGGACATGAAGCAGGAGGGGCCCCAGGTGTCTGAGCTTCCCTGCCAGCTGACACCAGCCCTAGGGCCAAATGCTGACAACGGCTCTGGAGGGGCTGCTGGCCAGTCATTCCCCTTCCTTTCCATGCCTGCAAGTGCCCCTGCTCTCAGGGACTCAGGTGGGAATGGAGGCCCTTGAGGAAAAAGCACTAAAGCAAACACCATTCCCACAGGATTTCAGGCTGAGCCAGGCACCGGGGAGCCAGAAACCTCAAGTTTGCACCCAAGCCCCCAGCCCTGGGCATGCACCCTTGCTCTGTATATTGTGCTCTTTGAGAGGGCTCCTCTGAGTTGCAGGTGACACTTCTCTGCTAGCATTCGAGCTACCGCAGTGACAAGTCATGACTGCAGTAACAAGAACTGCAAGACACTGGTGATAAAACAACATTGAACAGTTTCCCCTCTGTGTCCCCCTCTAACATCTGATCCAACTGGGTCTCCCCCGAATGCCCACTATGGCCCCCAGCGCACACTTAGTTTCACTGTTTCCCGGAGAAGTCAGTCAGCAAAGACAATCTGCTTTAAACACAGCTTGGTCAGACAAATGGTCATTTTTATAATCCATCAGTTCAAAGAATCCAGGAAGCCATGTCCATCCCTTTAGAGGAACTGCACATAGTGCGTCTCCACTTTTGGCTCTGGTTACTTGACTGAGGAAGTCACAGACCAGAGGAACTAAACACCCCCCTAAAAACCCAGCTGCGCCTGTGTCTCCTCACCCACTGCTGTGTTAAACCCCTCCTGCCCCTCCAGTGAGACACAGCTCTTTGCCACTCACCCCCGCCTCCTTCCTCGATGCTGACAATGGAACAGACTGTGTGTTCACTCTCCTGCTCCCGGGGACACACTGGAAGGAAAAGCCAAGTCTCACTTAGCCCCTAGAGATAGTAACTGTGCTGAGCATCCCCTGCTTCCCACTGCTGCAGTCTCACACAGGCAGCCCTGGCACAGAGACCCCAGGCAGCAGCAGGCTGGCCAAGGCCATCAGGGGTCGGCTGTGCTTCAGCAGGCTGAGCTCGGATCGAGTGGGATCATTTGAGCCAGAACAGCTCAGTGCCCCAGGACAAGCCGATGAGCTGAAACAGTTCAGCCGTGCTCCTCCACGGTGCCACAGGATGCCGCCAGCCTTTGGCAGTGCCAGAATGGCCTGCTTCCAGGAGCCAAGCTGGGGACTGAGGCAGAGGTGCTTGGTGGGCATCATGATGGAAGTGGTCCAGGAAAGAGCCAGTGTGGAGGTGCCAGGTCCACAGGGTGACTCTGCCTAGCTGGTTCAGACATGCCGGCCTGTGCCGAAACAGGGTGAGCACAGCCGGTTCGGTTCCCAGTGACCCAGTTAGTTCTCTGGTGCTGGGTTCACAGATGCATAGGTTGTAAAGCTGGAAGAGACCTTGGAAGATTATCGGGTCCAGCCCCCTGCACCAAGCAGGAAGGATAACTGGGGAAAGGGGTTCTCAGCTTGGAGGCCACTACCCTCTGCCCCTCCTGTCTAGCTGACTGTAAGTCAGGGGTGGGCAAAATACGGCCCATGGGCCGGATCCGGCCCACCAGCCCATTCTACCCAGCCCGTGAGGACCCTAAAAAGTTTAGAAAATATTTATCTGCCCCTGGTTCCTGTCAAAGATGACAGGAGCTAGGGGCAGTATGACCCAGGGAAAGCCCAGCAGGCTCCAGCAAACAGCAGGGCCCACCCGCCCCCAACCACTGGAAGCCCCTGCCTACCAGGGGCTTCTAGCCTGGGACTGTGGGGCTGTGCGTGGCTGCACCAGTGCAGGAAATTTAGGTAAGAAGGTGGGCAGGGAGAGGAAAGGGAAGACCATGAGAATTGCCCCAGTCCTTGGGGCTAGGCCAGCTCCTGCTGAGCCCCACAGTCTGGCCGTGCGGCCGGGAGCTGGTGGGCCAGCAGGAAAGTGGTGGCAGGGGCAAGGGGGAGTGGAAGTGAGCAGGAGTGCAGGGCCTGTGCCTGTGTCCTGGGGCCAGCACCAGCAGGGTCCAGAGCAGGGCTGCACCAGCAGGGAGAGGGGAGCTGACCTGGCTCCGTAGAGCCCCTACCGGCCAGGACCCCGCGCTCCTGCCACCCTGCTCTGGGCCCCTGGGACACCAGCATGGGCCCCATGCTCCTGCTCAGCTACCACTGGCTCCCATTCACTCCTAGTGCCCCCGCCCCAGCCCCGTGGTACAGGTGGGGAGCAGCATGCAGCCACAACCCCGTGCTCGCCCACGGGGAACAGTCAGCCTCCCCCCACTCCGGGGCTGGTGCTTCCTGCTGTAGCCGCCCACAGCCCACGTGGGGCTGTCCTGCCTCTCCGCCGCGGTGGCAGCAATGGAGAGCAGGCGTAGGTAGCCCTGCGTGGGCTCTGAACGACTGCAGCACGGGGCACCGGCCACAAGGAAAGGGAGTGGCCACATTTCCCCCATGTTGAGCAACAGCTTGTTCCCCAGAAGCTGCTGCTCAGTGCAGAGGAAAGCAGGACCCCTGCTCACCCCAGCTGGGCAGTGGCGTGGCGCGCTAGGCTGCGGGGCAGCTGCTTCACCACCGCTGCTGTACTGCCCAGCATGGCAGCAGTGGAGCAGCCGCTGGGCAGCACAGAGGTGGTGATGAAGCAGCTGCACCATAGCCTAGCACAGCGCGTGCTCTGGGCGGGTGGCTACAGCAAACACTGCCTGGCAAAGAGGTTAAGTGTGGGATTTCCAGTCCTTAGATAGTGACCAGGGGATGGGGCACCTGTCTAGGGGCAGGGCTAACCATGCAGCCCTGGACAGCTTGCCAAAACTTGGTAAGCAGCCCTCTGCTCAAAATTATTGCCCGCCCCTGCCGTAAAGGGTCCTGCCTGATCCCAGACTGATGGGAGGGGGCTCTAAGAGGCCTGACGTGGAAGATGGTGCAGCAGATGGAGAAGGCATCTAGGCAGGTCTCTAGTGCAGACCAGGCAGGGACTCCTGCCTCATGCTGACGTTCATAAGAGCCACCAGGTCTGAGCAGAGCCTCCCAGCAGGCACCACAGTCCACCTGGACCATGCGAGCACTGCAGGATCAGAGCAGGAAAACGTCCCTGGCACAGCTCCAGCCTGGGACATCACCCCCCTGCTCTCATCACCAGCACCCAGCTCAGCTCAGCCACTCATGCAGCTGGGAAGTAGGGGCTTGCCATTGGCATAAACTGGCTCCAGGTCAGTGGGACCCACGGCAGCCAGGGGAAGTATCCCGTTGGCAGGGGGCTCCTGCTGTGCCGGGCTCAGAGTGCTGCTGTGGAGGAGAAGATACAATGAGCTCAAGTGAATGGTGTGGAGAAATCAGCCCCCAGTCTATCTCTCTGCTATAATGCAGCAGCCCAAACCCTGCCCCTCTGGTTACAAACTCTGGCTGCTGGATTCGCCTAAGTAACAGGGTTATAAACTCCATAGGGGGTAGGGGGGTGGGGGGGGATCTTGTGCTTTCTTTATTTAAGAGTGCCCACCACTGCAGGTCATATGACTAATCCCCTCACCTGGGAAGGTGATGTCATTTGGAAGCACCAATCAGCAGCCAATGTGTCTGCTTCTGGTGGGAACTTAGCGATGAGGTCACAAGAGTGGTATAAAACAGCCCTTCCATGAGGAAATAGGAGTGTTTTGGGGACACCCTCTAGAGCCGGCTCAGTCAGCCCCGAAGGGACGGAAGTGTGAGTAATTTACATGACAAGTAGCAGGGAAGTTACAATCTAGGGCTTCAGTCGCTTGTCAAAAGGCTAGCAAGCCCTTTCTGTTTGCTCTGGGATTTTCTTTTGATACTTCTCTGACTTGTACCTATCCCCAAGCCTTCCCTCTCTACCCAGTAAAGCTATCTGTTAGCCAGCCTTGTGGTACATGCTCAAGAGGGTTTAGGCACACCTTTTTGCTCCCTTTTTCTTGGCTGACTAAGGGAGGCTACTTTCTATGCTTCAGGCTAATAGAAGCACTCCAAGGTCCCAAGGTCTACAGAGCCTGTGTATCCTGGGTGCCACAGGGCCCAGACAGAGACCTGAGTCCAGGTGGTGGCAGCGCTACCCCAGGCTTGGGGGTGCTCCAGGAAGGGGGTTAGCCAGAAGTTGGTGCCCCTGGGGAGGCATCTGAAGCCTGGTTTTTGGTGGGGTGCAGTGAGGCAAGTGTCTCAATGCAGGAATACCCCCTACTGGCCCACCACAAATGGCACAGACACACAGAGCAGGGCATGGGAGACAGATGGGCAGAGATGGACAAAGAAGGCAGCTACATGCTGAGGGCCAGATTCTCATTCATGTCAAGGACCTTCTGGGGTGGGGGGACAACAGGCCTCAATGCAAGGGAGAATCAAGGCCTGGCAGGGTCTGTTTTTTCTGGGTCTCAGCCACGTCCCTGCTCTAACAACATGACTTTTCTCTGCACCTGGTCTCCCATCCCAGGGCAGCTGCAGGCCAGTAGAGAGCAAGGAAGTGCCAGGAAATCCCTAGACCAGCTTCCCCCACAGTGACCTGGCTCCTTCCCATGCAGAGCAGGTAGACACTGACTCTGCTGTCTCCAAACAAGCAGCCAGGATGTCAGCAGCAGCCTGTGATTGCAGTGCCTCCCTCCAACATCCAACAGGCCCAGCCTGGGGGCCAGGACTGGAGAGTCCCCAAAACTGGGCTAACTTTAGGTTTGCCACTAGAGAGGCCACAGGCTGGGCTGGGCTGTGACACAGTCTGACCCTGTCTGCCCACGCATCCTAAATGTCATTGCCACGTGCCTAGGCAGACCATGGCCTGCTGTGTGTACAGCCTCAGACACACTGACCTGCAAACACCAGGGATGAGCCTCTCATACCTAGCATTGGGTGGTGGCAGAGGGGACGTTGACCACCACCTGCAGAGCCTTAGGTGGCTGTGCCAGGAAGAACCAACTGTGGTCATCACTGGGGGAAGAGGCTGCAGCCGGAGTAGCTGAGAGATGACCCAGGCCCTGGGCACAGAGTCACCCAAGACCCTTTGAGCAAGAGAACATTGATCTCACCCCCAGCCCACCCCCGCCCCCAACAACTGTCTGCTTCGTGAGCTGCACTCACCTCCACTGGGCAGTGAAACATGTCTCCCCTGCAAAAAAAAAAAAAATGAGAAAAGGGGTGTTACAGCCTTCCCCTGCTACCAGGTGTGGGTGGCTTTCACTAGTGCATGAAAATGAGAGAGAGGGCCTGGGGGGAGCTGTGGTGGGAACAGTGATGGAGAGGTCAGCTTCCACTGCACAACCTGAAGGGCTGAAGACAGGGCAGCTGCCTGGGGTGAGCAAGAAAGAGCTGGAGCCAGGGCCCAGGATCCTGCTTCCAACCCCAGCCCCTGGAGCAGCTCTTGGGCAAGGAGCAGTGAGAACCCAGGGCCTCCAAGGCCCCTGGGCACCCAGTTGTTCCTGTGGGGCAGGCAAGAGAAGCTGCAGCTACAGCAGGGCAGAGAGGCAGCAGGCACCACGAACACTTAGGGGGATTTGAATCCTCATATCTGTGCCTGCTTCACACCCACTTTCCCCACAAGCACCTGTGTGGGTGCAATGGCCATGAATTTCAATGAGCTCCCTGCACAGAGAGGTCTGCATGGCAGGAGCAGGACCAAGGCAGACACCCACCTGTTTTCTGTCGGTGCCTGATGCAGACCACAGTAGCCACAGAAGCACCAGTCAGGCACAGGAGGGAGAAAGTCACATCCACTGTCACCCAGACACTCGCATCCCCTGGGGAGAGTAAGGAGATGTGCTCAGGAGCCCCTGATGCTCACAGCACCAACCGGCTGGGAGGTGTTTGCCGAGTTCACGCGCCCAGTCCCTGCTGTTGCAGACAGCACCTCTCATGATCCTCCAGGAACTGACCCTGAGCCAGGGTCTCCTGCCCCACTGCTCTGATGGATGGCGGCTCCAGAGCCCCACACCTCCAAGGGCCAGGACCTCCCTTCTCATACACAGCCACCGCAACTCCTGCTGCTTTATTCCCATCCCGCCTTGTGCCAACCCCACCTTTCCCTTCAGTAGATCTTGTCCTTCCCTGATGCTAATCCCTGAGTAGCTCACAGGGAGTGCGAGGCCCACATCCAGCATGTGTCCTCAGCACCTGACCTACCCAAGCTCTCCCCCGACAGGCACTCCACTCCCCAAGCGCTGTGCCAGCCCTGCCCTGCCCTGCCCTGCACTGCCCCCGTCTGTGTTCAGCCCTCCCGCGGTGACCAGGGCTCCACATACACCCCCAGGCAAGAGGCCACCAGGGCCTCGGGCCACGGCATTAATCCTTCCCTGTCTCCACTGGCAGAGCCTGCCCGAGACATCCGGTACATGCATTGCACTGGCCTCTCCAGAGCTGTTCGCACTGGCAGCTCAGCCATTCGGTGATGGACTGATGCACCCTGGGATCCTCCTCTCTTGACAGGGCCCCCGTGCCATGTCACTGGCAGAGCTCCTTCACACCATTCTCCTTCTGTGCCAAGGTCGTTCATGGAAACCTTAAGCAATGCTGGTCTCAAGACTGACCCTAGAGCAGTGCCTCTGACCACCCCGCTCCAGTCTGATACTTCCCTTCCACTGCAGGCCATTTCTCCTGCTCTCCAGATGCCCCTCCTAACCCATTTACAGCCCTAGCAATATGGGCTCTGGGAACCATAAGCAGCAGTACCCTTTGCCAAGAGTGTCAAGCACGTGGGGGTTGGGCCACTACAATTTGTGCAGGGCCTGGTCTCTGCTCCTCCCCCTTCGAACACTGCATAATATGGGGCCTGGAGAATCAGCCAGTCTGAAAGAGAGATATAGCAAGCAGGAGCTGCAAAACCCCTGCATGAGGTACTGCACTCCTCAGTACCCTCTCCCCAGCAGGATGGGGGCTGCAGGCTACACTGACAAGGGCAGTTTATCTACTCATGTGAGAGAGGGACAGACATCTGGAAAAGTACCCTGGGCCAGTGAAAATGACCCAGAGACCACGCTAGTGCTGGAGTGTAGTCAGAGAAATGTGCCCAGGAGCAGGGGCAGGAGAGGGACAGGGGCAACACAAAAGAGCAATGCCAGGCCAAGTGAAGGGGCAGGCAGAGATGAGTGACAGGTCCCAAGAGTCAGTTACACGGACAGCAGCAGTATGACAGGACACAGGCTGCCAGCTCCTGAGCCAGGGGCCATGCTGGCTGCCTGCACCATTGGCCTGGGAGCTTCAGGAGTAAACCAAGCACAGGGTCCTGTCCTAGGGACTTATCCCCCTGCATAAGCATGCGCCCACAAACTTGCTGTGCCAGAACAGAAAATGCCTACTCCATTGCTGCCATGTCTCTAGGAAACTGGGACAGTATCCTAAAACCTCACTCCTGCAGCTGAAGAGGCCTTCTGGGTTGGTCTCTGGAGAGCCCCGATGGAGCTGGGAGGTGGGGGCAGGACCCGCACAATTATCCCCTGACTGCCACTGCAGAAGCCCTCATCTGCCCCAGTGACTGCTCCAGAACCTGTGGGTCCAGAGCAGGATGGAGCCCACCTGAGGACACTCACCTGCAGAGACAGTCAGCTGGACGGTGTCACTGCGTGTAGAGTTACTGGTTTTGCACTGGTATCTGCCTTTGTCTGTGAGTTCTGCAGCTTTAATTGGGAGCATGTTTGTTTCTGTTGATTTCAAGGAACGTCCCTCCAAATACCAAGAGGTGTGGGTGCTTCCAGCAGAGCAGGGTCCACTGCATGACAGAGTGACGCTTTCGCCCTTAAACACAGTGCTCCAGGGAGAGTCCAGGGTCAGCACAGCCTTCTGTTCAGCTGGTGGGGCCAGGCAGATGTGGAGCAAGGGATCAGGAAAAGAAGAATTCAATGCACAGTTGGGTGGGATGAACCCGAGCCTGAGCCCTGCACACAGTGGTTAGATCCAGGGCACTGCCTGTGGTTACACTTCTGGGATGCTTGTACACTTGATGCTCATCATGATATACACATGATGAAAATGCAGTTAGTGTCACTTAATGGCATCACTCATTACACATGCACCAGTTTCGGTGGGGTTTAAATTACTTTGCCTCATTGGTAACTAAACTACATCTGGATGTGTTTAGTTTGCAATGTTGCAAATTGTAACAATGCAGATGTCAGCTCAACCCCTGGCTGCAGGAGAGGCAGGCAGGCTCCACAGAAAAGGAAGGATTGGGCCCCTTGCTACTTTTGCCTTCAACAGGCCCCTGCTGAAGGTAGAAGCAACGAGTGGCCCAATCCTTTTTTTTTTTTTGAGAAAGCCTGCTTGACTCTTCCATGACCAGGGGGCAAGTTGCCAGTAGGCCAAGCAGCCCCTGAGCTGCAGGGGACCCTGGTCCTTCCCTCCAGGGCAGTGGTGCCCCCCAGGGCCACCCAAGCAGGCAGCCAGCCTACTAGCACCCTAGTAGGCTGGCTGCTGCCCCACCTCAGAGGCCTCACCCAGCCTGATGCAACTCTTCCCTGAGCCTGGCCGCTGGAAGCTCATTGGCACTGCTCCCTGGGTATACTCAGGGAAGACTTGCATTGAGCCGGATGCTGTCTCTCAGCTGGGACAACACTCAGCCTGCTAGCAGCCTACCCAAGTGGCTCTGGGGAGCACAGCTGCTATGGAGGGAAAGACCAGGGACCCTTGCAGCTCAGGGGCCACTCAGCCTGCCGGCAGCTCACCCTCCAGCAGCAGGCAGGCTCCAGCTCTGACAAAAAAAAAAAAAAAAAAAGATTGGGCCCCTCACCATACTGTGATGGAAAAATTGAAATGGTGAGTTATAATTAAAAACCTAGGCCTCTAGGCTTCGATTTCAAAGGAGGTCAAAGGAGAGGGGATCCAGCCTATTGCCAGCTATTTCCCAGTGCAAGGGCACAGTGGGAAAAAACCACAGCAGTGCCTTTAACTGCCTTGGAAATGTCCTGCTACAGGCATTTAGGGAAGTGTAACAGCAGTTCCCCTTTTGGGGAATGGGTCCTGTCCATTGTCAGGGGCAAGATGAATGCCTCTCAGCAGCTCCCCTGCCTCCCCACCTTTCCGCTCCCCAACGCCCAGAGATTGCCAATTGCCAGGGGGTCGGGAGCTTGGAATTTGAGCCACGATAACTGGAGACAAGAGCACTCACCAGCTAGGCCAAGGGCGTGAGCTGCAAAGATAACAAGACACAACATGGATGCAGGTGAGGTCTGTTCCTTCTGCCCAGCAGTGCCAACAGCAACCCTGAGGCTGCCCAAGGAAACGTGGAGGCCTGTTCCCTCCAGGAGGTCAGACTGGCTGCCCACAGGGTCCCTCCTGGCTTTGTGCATTATCTGCAGACTCTGGCCCCACGACCTGCCAAGAGGGGGTCAGAGCCGTCAGCCCATCACACACGGGGAGCAGAGGCCACACCGGGATGGACTTCCCCAGAGCCCCTGCTGGGCTGAGGACAGAGCTCCTGCCTGCAAGATCTCCCCACCCCACTGCACCCCCAGTCAACCATTGACAGGAGCCAAGCCAGGTTGGCCTAACATCAGCCCAAGGATCCCCAGTACCCAGGGCTAGTTTCATGTCTGTCATAGCTGTTGGACACCACCCTGCAGAAGTTCCCCACTGTCCCAGTGTCCCCACCAGGCCTGTCCCTACTGCTCTCACACCTCTTGCCCCCACTGGGGACATCCCTGGGGCCAGACAGGCACCCCAGAGACTGTGATGCTTTTGCCAGTTTTTTCATAATTTAGGGCTGCCGCAGGCCTGGAAATGAAGATCATTGAGCGCTCCAGCAGGGGACTGTCAGGTGCTGTTAGTTTTGTCTCTCTTTCTGACTTTGCATTTGAAAGTTTGTCTAACTCTAACCCAGCTATACATTTGGTCCAATAAAAGATACCACCCTAAGAAATCCTTGTTTCTCACATCATATTTAGTTAACATAAGCCTGTGAAGGAAAACTCAATTAAAAAGTCTAAAGTGGTTTGAAGGTATCAGACCCAATGAACGAAAGCATTCAGACAAGTAAGAAGTACCTCATAGGGCTTTCCCAAAGGTCAGAGCTGTACTCTGGAGGCTAATGATTTACTGCTTCACTGCTTGAAATCAAGCATTTTCTAGGAAATGGAAAAATTCACCTGATGCTCTGAACTCGCTCTCCCCTTGATATCCTTAATTTGGAAGGGATGGGGAGGGGCTTTGAAGCCACAAGTGTTTACCCCTTGTTTGGGATACAGGTTCCAGATCATTTTAGCATCTTAGCTTGAAAGATGCTCCCGGCAACCTCCACACTCAGGTCCTGGAGAGGCTCTGTCCAGCCGACCTCACTCCCTGATCCCTTCCATTTCCAGAGGTTTACCCTTCCAGAAGGGAGAACTGCTTCTGCATTAAACCCTTATTTTCAACCCCATGAACCCATGATCTCTCTGCCCAAAGCTATTTTTTTTACTGCCATTTCCATACGATCTCACCCACCACCAAGACTGAGTCCCGAACAGGATCGCCCCTTGTTGCTTCAGTGACTCTGGAGAAGAAATGTGCCAACTCTCATACTCGGGATCCCTTGGTTCTACCAACAGTAGCAGCATTTACTCCCGACTCGACATTTTGGATGTCAAAGGCTCCCTTGATGACACAATTTCCAGCAGCTCTTTTCTCTCTAACAGCATTAGAGAGCCTCTGTCTGGATGCTACCTCAGCATCTGCACCTCGCTGCAGCCCTGCCTCAGGGAGCTGTGTTTGCTGCCCTTCCCCAAAGCAATGCTGCATCACCCACCCTCTCTCTTCGCACTCCTTAATGTCCATCTCCCTTCCCTGAAAAGCCCCTGCCCATAGCACTGTGCTCCAGGCAGGGTGGCTGTTTCACCACGTACTTACCCAGCAGAAGAAGCGCTGCACCGCCGGGCGTCCTGGGCACTAAACTATTGCTTGCTGACTGACTGCAGCAGAGCTCAGTACCCTTTGCATAGCTGCTGCTCCAGGGAAAAGGAAGGAAATGACTTCTGTTCACACTAGGGCTTCCTCCCACCCACTCACTGCATAGGGCAACACCTTTGTCTTGGCTCATGCTGTTGAGACAAGCAGGGACAGCAGGGGCCTTGCTCAGTGCTGGATTACAGCCAGCCAGGACAGGGCAGCTTCATCCTCAGCCAGGTGCACTGACAAGGACCAAAGAGCATCCTGAGTCCCCAGGGCCAGGGGAGCTCTGATCCCCACTTAGAGCTGCCCCCAGGCCCAGGCCAGGAAACTGCACTTTAACCAGGCCTGACCCAGCAGGCCAGAGCCCAGCTGGTTAGAATTGTCCCTGATATCACTGCATTTCTTTCCCCAGATTAGGACCTGGCACAGGGTTTTCTGGTCTCTCTTCAGGTGCCAGCATTCAGCTGTCCACCCTGAATGAGATCTCACAGAGCTGCTTCTCTCTGCCCAACCACCCCCACACGCCTGTGTCCTGCACTGCCCAACTCACCTGCCCCTCACTCTGCAGCTGTAATTGCACTAGGCTCCATCCAGCACCTTGTGAGCCAGATCTAGTTTCTACTCAAAGGAAAGTCACGCCGCTGTTGCCCCCAAGGCATCAAGCTGAGGTACTCCTGATTTATATCAGCGGGCACTGGACTCTGTTCACTTGAAATTTATGAGCAATCCAGCACCACACAGGTAAAAACATGGATGGGAAACACAGGGCCCATGACTTCTCAGTGTTTGTCTCTAATCTCAGTGCCCCCAGCAATGGCCACACAGATCGGTGGGTCTGTAACAGTGATTCCCAGCTGGTCTCTAGGGTGCTCCATGCAGGCTCCAGCCACGTAAGAAAACAACCCCAAAAAACCTGCGGGCTCACCAGCTGCTGCAGCAGCCTTGGGGTTTCTGGGGGCTCATGCAGACCCCCTATCCCCCCACCCCCATGCAGTGTGGGGCAGCGTGGCTCAGCGCTGAAAACAGCTCTGGAGCTACCAGAGTCTGAGCTTGTTTGCACATAATGAAAACTGCAGTCATCAGTGCCCAGCGCTGCCAATGCTGTGATATTAGCAACCCAAACAAGCTTTCGGGCTTAAAAACTCTTCGTCAGGCTGAGGAAGTCTCTGCAGTCGGTGTGTGCTCTTTCTGGGTGGAATGAATAGTAAAGAAGCCAGAAGCTGGGCTGGTCTGCATGCAAGACACAGTGAAGATGTAAATTGAGGAGTCAGTGGATGAGAGACAGGCTGGGGGTGGGGAGAGAGAGACAGGGGATGAATGTAGCAGGTAAATGTGGAGAGGTACCTGGGGAGTCAGATGTCAGGCAGGTTATAATGTGTCATAAATCCAATGTCTATATTTAGTCCATGATTTGTTGTATCCAGGAGGTTGATGAAGTGAAGTTCATGGGCTCGCCTGTGAAAAGTGTTTTGTAAGTTCCCTTTGAGGATCAGGACTGAGAGATTGGAGAGAGGGTGGTTTTCTTGTGAGAAATGTGCCCCCACAGGTCATTGGCTATTCCTGTCTTTGATAGATTTCCGGTGTGCGTTCATTCACGTGTGCAGTTGCTGTTTGGTCTCTCCTATGTGTTTTCCATCAGGGCATTTGGGGCATTGGATGAGATATATTACATTTCTGAAGGTGCAGCTGTAAGATCCGGGAATGGCAATGGCTCTGTTGTGGGGTCTAGAAATTGTGAGGGTGGAGATACATTGGCAGGTTTTGCATTTCTTGTCATGGCATAATCTGGGTCCATTCGGTGTGTTCTGGGCCATAGGAAGCTTCCTTCAGGTGATGAGGATAGTGAGGTTTGGTGCTTGTTTGAAGGCTAGGATGGGTGGTTCCACCACCCCCTTCCCTCACACAGCTGTGCCTCCAGCTTGGCCGCTAGCCCGGGGTGGGTGGGGAGGGCATAAGAAGAGTGTCCTCTGTACAGATGGCTGCAACTGCCCAGCGGAGCCAGGGTGCCCCCAGGGAAGATGGAGCTCCCCGCCCCCCAGTCACCATGGGGCAGGCAGGGCCAGGATGCTGTGGCAGCAGGGAGACGGGGTGGAGAGGAAGCTGTGAGGACTCGGGGCTGGGGCTGCAGGAATGGGAGGCTCAGCTGACCTCGTTCTGCCCTTTGGCAGTGTCTGGAGCCAAGCGGTGGATTTCAAACCCCGTGTCCCCCGCGCAGCTGCTCCTACACAATCCTGCATTTTGCCTTCACCCCAGGACTCTGGACAACGCTCCGTGTAGACAAGATCCGAGGCAGGAGACCCTGGGGAAGGGGAGTGTGAAGGAGCCGGGGACACAAGGCAGTGCCAGGAGCAGAGCTGGGAGGAGACCCTTGGGCTCCCCATGGGCAGCTCGGTGCTCCTTGCCCTGTCGGGGGGCTGTTGGGGGGACCATGGGGGGAGTCTCATCCTCACCTCCCACCCCCACACAGGACATTTCCCCACCTCTGCAGGACGCAGGCAGCAGAAACACCTGCCAGGCTCAGGGCACCCGGCCGTCACTGTGGGGGAAGCTGCAGCCTGAGGATGGGGCTGAGGGCCGTGCACAGCGCTGGGAGGGGACGGGCAGTCTGAAGGATGGGCTGCTGGTTGCCTTCCTGCTGCCCACTTGTGTCCTGGGGCCTGGCAGCAAGTCCCTTTCCTGAGAGCCGGGGCCCTGCCTGTGCCCGTGCGGAGAGGTTACGTGCGGAGAGGTTACAGCAGGCCTTGCCCCAGGATCAAGCTCTGCCCAGCCGCTCTCCCCTCAGCCCCACGGGCTCAGCTTGGGAGTTACTGTCATGGCAGGGATCAGGTGGCAAGGAGGAGTGGGGTTGTTGGGACCAGAGGCCTTCAGGTTTGACCTTTGTGCTTAGCTCAGGCTACATGCTTAGCTTCAGTTGTGGTCAAGATTTGCACCCAGTGAAAGAAGCAGATGGGGAAAAAAAGTCTGTCCTTAACTTAAAACAAATCAAAGACTTGCCTAATTAAATTGAATAAATACAACCTAGATAAAAGAGGAATGGTTAGAGCAAAACCTACCCCCCCCCCCGCCCCAAGAATGAAAAGATTACCTTACAATAGACAATTCCAGTTAAAGGTACCCACTTATGGCAAACAGAAGCAAGGATTTTTAATATGCATTAGAAAGAAGGCTTAAGCTAATTTAATGTATTAAGAAATGCAAGGTATATGGCTTATAATGAGAGGTGAGAGAGTGTGCCCTTTGCAACACTCCTGAAGAGATCTTGTCACTGATCCCAGATCCTGTCTCAACATCAGATGTGGACCCAGGAGCCCTGGACAAGACTTCATGGCCTGATCAATCAGTGAAGTTGCATTCTCAACATTACAGGGTGGTGAGCATATATGCTTTGACTAGCTACAAACCTAAAATGTTTAACTGCTAATGGTGCTTCAATTCTAATTAGAGTTGTATCTGTAAGAGTTTAGTAAAGTTGCTTTTAGCTTAGGACAACCATGTCTTAGTCTCCTTGCCTGGTATATGACCCATTATACCATCACGGGGACACAACAGGGAGCCTTCAGTGCATTCAGGCATGGTGCAGCCTGGACATGGTACAGAGCAAGCGCAGGCAGACTCCTGCAGGCTGGACCGGGGGCACTGACCTGTGAGCCATGGGAGGGTGTAACAGTGTGGTCTGCAGACAGGCCTGAGGAGTTACTGCAGCTGTGGGGAGGCTGCTACTAAGAGAGTGGCTCATGGGGAACTTAAAAATATCCCAGAGAGAAGAACAGCAGGGCTTGGAGCTGGGAGGAACCAGCTGTGAGCCAAAACAAGAAGTGGGCTGTGCCACTTGCTGCAGGCAGTGCCTGGGCTGCCGTGCTGGGGCCAGAGCCACAGAGTCCCTTTATAACCACAAAACTGCTCCTGCACGGCACTGAATAGCAGCCAAGCTGTCTAGAAAGCTACTACCTCCTTAGAGCTGAGCAAAGCAGCTGCAAGTTCAGCCCAAGAAGAAACGTTGCCAAGGACGGTCGGAAGAAGATGTTCAGAAAGAGAGAAAGCATGATAAGAAAAGCCTGCTGGCTCCGGTGGATTTTGCCAACTGGGTTTTAGAGACAGACCCAACAGTGATAACTCAGTGATGCAAATAATCTGTAAATGGGCAGTAACAGCAGCCATCATCATGGGGAAAGTATTGGTCTGGGATGGTTTGGAAAGGGCTGATTCTGCCTCAGGCAGGGTTTGGAGTAGATGTGAGCTCTGGAGGTCCCTGCCAGTCCCACTGCTCTGAGACTGTGTCATCTGCCGTGATCAGTGCTCAGCCCAGGTCTCACTTAGGCTGTGACTACCCCAGAAGCAATGGCTGTGCTAAGCACCTGCTGCTCCCCTAGCGCTGCAGCCCCCCTGGGCAGCCCACGCACAGAGCCCCAGGCAGCAGGGCTGAGCACTGATCACGGCAGATGACACAGTCCAAGAGCAGTGGGGCTGGGAGGGACCTCCAGGGCCCACATCCAACCCTGCCTGAGGCAGGACCAGTCCTGGCCAAACCATCCCAGGCAGATCCGCTGTCACTGCAGCCACCCCTGGAAGCTGCTGCAGCAATCAGCCGCAGTGATTGGCCATCGTGGGATCAGCCGCAGGGGACCCCGCAGGACGCGAGATCAGCCGCAGGGGGTTCCCTCCCCGGTCAGCAGGACTGGTCACAGGAGGGGCACAGTCGGCAGCACCAGTCACCCATGCAGAGTCCACAACTTCCCTGGGCATCTTTTATCCCACTGTGTCACTGTTCGAACAGTGAAGTTTCTCCTGATATCTGATTTAAACCTACGTTGCTGCAACTTCAAGTCATTGGTCTGTGTCCTTCGCTCTGCAGCAAGAAAGAAGAGGTACTTTCCCTCTTCTGTATGTCAGCCCTTCAAGTGTTTGGAAACTGCTGTCATGTCCCCTCTTAAAGCGACTTTTCCAGCCGGATTAGCTCAGGGAGCAGGTGGAATCTGAGGAGCTGAAACGGCCCAACAGCGATTCACCACAATCTGCCAGGGCACTGACAGCCTTTGGGCATCTCCCAGAA